ACAATTAATATTCAGCTTCTTCTTGAGCCTTTTCAATCACCAACCGTCCAACCCCAATGAGAGGTTTCTATCTTGTATTCACATATTTACCAACTGATTTATCAAATTCTGTAATCACAAGATTTTGAGTGTCGATTACAATAATATAATAATGAGAAGAGTTATAAATGTTTGTCTGATATTGGAATGGTAATCGAATATGTTAACAATGTAGCACGAGTTAGAACTTGTATCAACTCATCCAACAATTAATCAAAAAACAGTTGTTATTACCAAAAAAAATATACAATTTTCTTTAATTTTCCTAAATGGACATGGTTTCTAGAGAGTTCCATCTGCAATGCCGAAATCCACGAACGAGGCAGATGAAACGAACAGCACAAAAAGCATAGATGGGCTGAAAGGGGTGTGGCAAATGTGGCATCAAAAGGGCCAATTATGCCCAAAGGGCACGGTGCCCATTAGGCGTAGCTCGGTCCACGACGTGCTCAGGGCTAAGTCGTTGTACGATTTTGGAAAGAAACAAACGAGGCCATTGTCCTTTCCCGGCCGTCCCAAGCCCACTAATGATGATCTCAATACCAATAACCATGAGGTAATGTTGAGTCAATTTTGTTTGTATTAATTATATATAAACATTAATTAGTAGGGTAAACAAAACGAACTGAGTTGAACTCACAAGCGGTTGCTTNCATGCAATAGCATACGTGACATCGGAGGCAATATACGGGGCTAAAGCCTCTATAAATGTGTGGGACCCATCAGTACAAGGACGAGGCGAGTTTAGCTTGTCCCAGATTTGGCTTCTGTCCGGCTCGTTTGATGGCACCGACCTCAACAGTGTTGAAGCTGGCTGGCAGGTTGTATTTTAAATGTTTTGGTCAAGGTTTATTTATTAATTTATTGGTGAAAATTGAATTGCTGAAGATTTAATTTGATTATTTTACTAGTCAGGTTAGTCCGGAGCTGTATGGAGACAGTAAACCCAGATTATTCACCTATTGGACGGTCAGTTCTCGCTCTTATATTATTAAATTTACGATAAATATTCTGTTCGGCTGGCTAACTCTTTAGACATATATATGTACATACTTCCGAATGTTTAAAATTTAAAATATAAACAAATAGATGTTTGACATATTACGGAAAAAATATATGTATATTTTGTAAGAATGTAATGTTTAAGCTAAATTTAAATATGACACATAAATTTCGTTGATGTATGTAGTCTGATGCATATCAATCAACGGGATGCTATAATCTTCTGTGCTCTGGATTTGTGCAAACAAATAGTCGAATTGCAATTGGAGCTGCTATTTCTCCAGTCTCATCCTTACACCAAACCCAGTATGACATCACCATCCTCATATGGAAGGTTTGAATTTTTTTAATCCTTTTTTAATAATAATAATAATAATAATAATAATAATATTAATTAACACTGCATGAAACTATCAATTTCCAATGATAATCAATTTTTTTTCCATATCAAATACTATTAGTTATTGTGGTAGGACTGGTGTTTGGCGGCCGTACTTTTTTTTAAACAATAAAGTATTTATATGTTATATTTAAATGTTATATTTTACAAAATTCTATAAATGATAATATAAATGTTACAGCTAAAGTATTTGCTTTTTATTAAAAAATTATGTCACATCACAATTTGTGTAGTTATTGACACTGTATGGTGATGTTGTCCACATAGGATCCAAAGACAGAGAATTGGTGGATGGCCTTTGGGGACAAAACGTTAGTGGGCTACTGGCCCAACGAACTATTTACTCACTTATCAGATCGGGCCACAATGGTTGAGTGGGGCGGTGAGGTCGTAAACACTCGGCCCAACAATAAACACACGTCCACTCAAATGGGCTCGGGCCATTTTGCGGAAGATGGGTTTGGGACAGCAAGCTATTTCCGAAACCTACAAATAGTGGGCTCAGATAACAGCTTGGTCACGGCCCATGATATAACAACGTTGGCTGAGAATGTAAATTGCTATGATATCCAGAGCTCATATAGCAGTAAATGGGGCACATACTTTTATTATGGTGGGCCTGGAAGAAACCCAAAATGTCCGTGACACAGCAGGGAAAGACAACAATATGCAAATTTGTTTTATTATTCTTATTTTATTAGGAGATAGGAATAGGATTATGTAATTTTCATTCATTTTTATTCAGCTAGAAAGTTCAATAGTTAATTGATTCTACAGGATAAGAGAACTGTAGCAAGGGCTTTAAGAATAAGACACGAAAGAAGAGTTTCTAAGACATCCACACAAAAATTAACAGGCCAATGAAGTTATAGTACAAGTGGCCCAATTTCCCTGTGAGAAGGTCATGCTCAAAGAGTTTGATTTAGTCTCCTTATTACAGTTAAATTGATTTTTTATTAGACTTACGCTTATACATTTTATTATCAGCTCCAATGAAAAAAATATTTATACATTTAATTACGGAACCTCAAAATTTCATCAGCAATCAACAACTTGAGCTTTCTCTACTAGTTTGTTATTTATTTATTTTCATCTGCATGGTTGTTTAGTACGAATTTGCCGTGCTATGCATGTAATTGTAAATGAGGACACAGCCTACGTGGGCACTTCACAACGTCATACTTATTAAAATTGTTTATTATTATTGTTGGCACTTGGCAGTATTTTAATAGGAAACTCACGTCACCTAACTACTATACAACATATTAAAAAAGAAATTATAATTAAAGACAGATTAATCTAGATTAGTATATTCATATTTGCCTCTGCACCCTCATACGGATGGACAAGATGAGATACCCTTTATTCAGATTTGTGTAGCCGGACCTACCTTTGGGTGCACCCGCCTCACTGTGATGCTGACTTTTTAGCCGGGACTTTTTCTTAGATCATGATCTATTGTTTTCATACAGTTGTCAGTTTTTCTCTGTGTTTTTTCTTTGTTCTTTTTTTATTTTTCGTTTGACTGGATGTATATATATCAGACATTGGACTTGTAGCTTTGTGACTTCTCGACCCATTTAGGCCATTCTATATACAGGTTGGGAGTTCGGCCTTAACCCCCCACCCTACTTGGGTGTTGGTTTAAAAAAAAAAAAAAATCTAGATTAGTATATTCTCAAACAGACAATTTTAATTGATGTGTTTGTACTTAAGTTGACTTGCAGTTTATTAGGTCTGAAATGATCAAAATCACTGTTGAAATATTGAATTTAATTATTTATAAATTTTATATATGTGGCTGATTCTTATAGCTTGTAGAATCTTTCTGTATATTCTTTGGCATGTGTTCTACTATTATTTCTTTTATTTTGTTTCAATTGTTAGAGTTTACGTTTGGTAAGCAAAATAAGCTAGCTTATAAGCTCCTTGTATTCAAATAAGTTTCGTGGTAGGACGAGCTTTTTCAAAAAACTCGAGCTTATCTCATAAGCTACTTTAGGTAACTTTTCAAATAAGCTAATTGAATTTTTTATTTCAGCTTGCTTATCAGCTAATTTACCAAACACTTTTATCATATAAGCTAGCTTTTCAACTTAAGTCATAAGCTATAAGTCAAAATTATATATAAACTATAAACTAGCTTATCAACTATCAGCTAGTTTTACGAGGGAGCTATGGGCGACTACATTAATTGGCTCAACCAAATTTACGAGGCTAAGATACATTTAATTAAATCTATTTGCAAATTAATTTTGTAAGTCATGTAATATTACAGCCCAAAAGCTTATGTTTTATAAAAATTATGTACATACATCTCAATTCAATGTCCATATATCATACGTGTGTTATGTCATGTCACAAAAGCATTTTATATGGTCCTACGAATTTTGTCCCTGGCCTAAAAGGTAGGGGTGAGCATGGGTCGGTACGGTTCGGAGATTGATAATTCTCCAGAACCGAACCGAAGTTCGGAGATCACTAAAATTCGATCTCCAGAACCGTACCAAAAAAACGGTTCAGTCCGGTTCGGAGATTTTTATTTTTCGGTTCGGTTTTCGGGACTATCGGAACAGTTCGGCTCGGTTTGGTTCAGTTCGGTTATTCGGAGATTTCTTATCATTTTTTAAATTTTTTTGAATGACCACCTAGTTATATTTTATTTTTTATATGTTTTTTTTTTCAAATCCAACATTCATTAATACTTCATCATACCAAAGAATTTATTTTTAAATCAACAAGTAACCCTAAATTTTAGTTAAGACTAAATTCAACTAACATTGAAAATTTAAATTCAAACAAAATATAATACAGTTTTATATTAAAGTAATATTAGTTTAACCTTCCATACCATGTTAGTTATAAGATAAACTAAGGGTAAGTATCGACAACTTTAAGTAAAGCTTGAATTATTTTTTTTTTAAATCTTTAACCTTTCATTCCATTTTTTTTTTTTTTTAAACATGAAAAATTCAATTGTAGATCAAGTATTACTAAACATGAAATGTAAGTGAATCTTAGTTGTTATTACTATATTTTATTTGCATTTTAAAAATTCTCAAATTATACAGAATCAAAGTTGACATAAAATATATTAATAACACGCATCTATTTTTATAATTCGGTTCTTAATTTCGGTTCTTCGGTTCGGTACGGTACGGGACGGTTCGGTTCGGTTCTCGGTACGGATATTTATGAAATCTCCAGAACCGTACCAATTATTTTTTCAGTTCGGTTTGGTTTGGAGAAAGTCAAACGGTCAACGGATATTTTTCGGTTCGGAGTGATTTTGGTTCGGTTTTCGGTACGGTTCGGAATTCTTCGAGTCCCATGCTCAGCCCTACTAAAAGGCCTTAAAGTATATAACTCAAGTTTTATGTTAGATTATCTCACTATGTTACATAATATTTCTTTTCAAAATACATAATTATTACATTTTATTTTTTTATTTATAATTTTCAAATTATAATATTTCAAACCAAAAATATATGCATATAAAATATTTATATCGAAAATATGATTGTCCAATCGATTAAATAAATATGGAAATTGCCTCAGTGGAATAATGTACGCTGTATACCCTACGTGCCGTATTGTCACACAACTAATTAATTAACATCTAATGACTTTTTGCAAGCTTGCTTATAGAATATTTAAAAATTTCTCCACATGAAATCATCAATTAGGTAAAATATGGGTTCTTATACGTATAGTACCCAATTATACTTGCCATAGTGTGATGCCATGCTCCAATTGCATGTGTAAGTACCATACAATTTGCAATACGTTACTCACAACTTGATCCATCAATTTAATTTTCCAAAAATCATTCTTTAAATCTATAACACATTTGTACCATTGATATTCACCTACAATCTAGGATACATGATTCAGAATATTCATATGATAATTTCATTTCATACTACTTTCCCATTTAATTTACCAAACAACATTTTTCACTATAAATTTTAAAATTATATATATATATATATATATATATATATATATATATATATATACACAAACATCACGAGTATATATTTGTGATACTTTTATGTTATATTGTTATTATACTTTTTTCTGGAACTATTATTCAAACTGAGTTTTCGCGAACACAATTCAATTCCGCTTCAAAAAATATCAAACTAATTCGTTTGCTTAATAAATCAAACTCAAACAACTAATTGAACTCGTTTATCATCTGATCGGAAATCATTTGCGAATAACTCATTTGTTTTTTGGTTAAAAAGCTTTTATTGCTTCCAAACGAAGAGTGAAGCATTTTCACTACAAACTGAGTATTGTGTTTGTGAAATGATTGAGTCAAGCGTTTGACTAATTTACTAAACGAGCACAATTCGAACAAAAGTATTCGACTTGACTCGAATCAAATAATAAGTCTACCTCTTTTACAAGATTCCAAACTATATTAAAAAATAAAATACAAATTTGTATTTTATCTATAACCCTATGACTATTTAAAGAGATAAACAAAAATTAAAATTCTATGGCACACATATCTTCCAATTAAACAACAAACAAATTCACAAAAATTAAAAGTGGTAATATCACTAAATGACCATGTAGCTTTTTACAGGATTAAAAAAAAAGACACTTCGTTGAAACATGAAAGAATAGTCAATCTCCTTTTTTAAGAAAAAAAAAAATGACACAATTACTCTCACTATAAAAACTTGTTTTTAAAAATATAAAAACTTAGTTTTTAAAAATTTGGTTTAGATAGTAAAATAATTGTTTCATTTCTCATGTACTTCCGAAAAAGCACCAAAAAAAAGAAGAAGCCACTAATTTTCATATTTGCATTTACTATCAAACCAAGAGACTGGAAATTAAAGTTGTGTGTCTGTGTGTGTGTCCCTACTCCCTAGCTAGCTACCTATATAAAAAGGCTAAATAAAACATCACCAATCCACAATTCACCCCAAAACAAATTTTCACCCAATCAATGGCCGCCGTGAGCTGCTCGGCCGACGAGCTCCTCCCCCTCTTAGGCGGCAACGCGACCGCCGCCGCCGCCTTCATCTGCGGCCGCCTCTCTGCGGCCGCCGGCCAGCTGTCGACGGCCGCACACGCGGTAGACAGCACATATCTCCTCTTCTCGGCCTATCTCGTTTTCGCCATGCAGCTCGGGTTCGCCATGCTCTGCGCGGGCTCCGTTCGGGCCAAGAACACCATGAACATCATGCTCACCAACGTACTCGATGCTGCCGCCGGCGGGCTCAGTTACTATCTGTTCGGATATGCATTCGCCTTTGGCGGGCCCTCCAATGGGTTCATCGGCAGGCACTCGTTTGGGCTCAAGGGCTTTCCACGGCCCGATGCGGATTACAGCTTCTTTCTATACCAATGGGCCTTTGCTATTGCTGCCGCAGGTACTTCTTTTCACAATAGTGCTATCCAATTAATTTTTTATATTGTTCGAAATTAGGAATATAATATTAGAAAAAAAAAATCTGCAAAATTTATGGTGGATTTTTTAATGGAAAATATTGTTTAAATCTACGATAACATTGAGGTTGAAATCAACACCTGTTTAATGGAGGAAACACAAAGTCAACGCAATACCTGTTTAGTGATTGAAATCTTATACATTTTTGTAAAGAAAAAATCATAACGATTATTTAATTGTTTTTCCCCATCATATCATATGTAATTAAAAATCGAAAGCACTTTATTGTTTGCAGTTTAGTGAACAAAATAAAGGTACGTTCTTGAACAAATTACACAAAGTAGTGACAAAAGTCTAATAAAAAGAAGAATACGACTACGTACGCATTTAATTAGGATGTCATAAATATAGTGATACAAAATTTCAAACACTTATTTCATCTTTCTTGGATTGCCTGCTTCAGATGGCAAATAATAAATAACTAGCACAAATTAATAAATCTTCCTGTTTAACTAGCACAAATTTAATGTAATTTCTCCTCTATACTAATTCTGAATTTACTGATTTTGGTGTGGTCAGGGATTACAAGTGGGTCCATCGCGGAAAGAACCCAATTCGTGGCCTACTTGATTTACTCCTCCTTCCTAACCGGGTTTGTCTACCCAGTTGTTTCCCATTGGGTTTGGTCCGGCGATGGTTGGGCCGGTGCTGCCAGGCCCAATGGCACCGGCCTCCTCTTCGGGTCCGGAGCCATTGACTTTGCAGGCTCGGGAGTGGTCCACATGGTTGGCGGCATAGCGGGCCTATGGGGAGCCTTCATAGAAGGCCCTAGGATCGGCCGGTTTGATCGGTCAGGTCGATCCGTGGCCCTACGCGGCCACAGTGCCTCACTAGTGGTGCTCGGTAGCTTCTTGTTGTGGTTCGGGTGGTACGGGTTTAATCCCGGCTCCTTTTTTACCATAATGAAGTCGTACGACAAACGTGGGCCCTACTATGGCCAGTGGAGCGCGGTCGGGCGGACAGCTGTCACGACCACACTGGCTGGAAGCACGGCCGCATTAACCACACTGTTTGGGAAGCGGATTCTGGCTGGGCACTGGAACGTGATCGATGTCTGCAACGGGCTGCTCGGTGGGTTTGCCGCCATCACCTCCGGATGCTCGGTGGTCGAGCCGTGGGCCGCCATTATATGCGGGTTCGTGGCCTCGTGGGTCCTAATGGGCCTCAACAAGCTTGCCGAGAGGGTTGGGTACGACGACCCGCTAGAGGCGGCCCAACTGCACGGGGGTTGTGGCGCGTGGGGATTGATTTTCACGGGTTTGTTTGCCACCAAGGGTTACGTGAAGGAGGTCTATCCGGACAGACCCGACAAATTCTACGGATTGTTCATGGGCGGTGGGGGAAAACTGCTAGCGGCCCAAATCGTGCAGATACTGGTGATCGTGGGTTGGGTGACGGCTACTATGGCTCCGCTGTTCGTGATATTGCACAAGCTGAAGCTACTTAGGGTCTCGAGAGAGGATGAAATGGCGGGCATGGACATGACGAGGCATGGAGGGATGGCTTATATTTACCATGACGAGGATGACGGTTCGAATCTGCCGCAATTCAAGATGAACCGAATTGAGCCGAGGGATGCTCACACGCCCGACCAATCGGGTCATTCGTGAGAGGTTTGTAGTTATAATGAACATATTTAAGACAAAATCAAGTGTATTATGATGAGAAATGGTTGAACTAGGTAGTTTAAGTATACTTGGTAATGTAATATGTAATGGAAGTGGTTGTGTAATACTCTACTATAAGAATGAAGTTGTCGTGCTAGCTCTTTTGACAATTGATGTTGATTTGTAAATGTTTTAAAGTACTGTGCTTCTCCCATATGGAATATTGCAAGGCATGCAAGCAATCAATCTAAATGCTTTGAATATAATTTTTCATTTGGTGGGAAATGTTGCTACAACTATTGTGTTTGCTCCATGTAAATGAACAATGATAATAGTACGTTCAAACAAACTTCTTTTAAATATTAGGTTTGATTCAATAATAATAATTTACATATATAAAAATCTTAAGGCTAGTTGGAGCAAATTATTTCAGTGGACGAGATATATCCTAAGATTATCCCATTCTCTTTATTTGTGTCCACAGAGCTTTGATCTTTTATCCAGACTTCGATTGTGTGTCTGTTTGTGACCAAATTATTTCATTTTTAGCCAACTCCATTTCACATGTCCCATTAGGAGCCACGCGCTTCTGCTATTGTTCGGGAATAATGAAATCTTGGATTTTGTTATAAAAACGAAAGGTTGACTTAATTGAAAAGGAAGCGTCAAATGTTACTACATGCGGACTTTTCCGTATATAGACAATGGGAATTACATTTTCCTAAATATGTGATCAGAGATTTTTTAGACAACTGCAATTACATTTACCTAAATATGTGATCAGAGATTTTTTTATGTTCTTGATATTATTATGGCATTGAAGCAAATGTACCAAAAGTACAACAATGGGAAGAAAAGAATTAGCTAGTATGCATATAGAGCTATAAACAAGTCAAGCTCAAACTCTTGATACTCGAGCTCGGGACTATTGAAATTCAAGCCTAACGAACTGAGCCCGATCATCAATATGCCGAGTTGAGCTCACAAGTCGGCCATTTTCAATGTTTACATATCATTAGTTAGTAGAAAAACAGTATTTATAACGGGTCAAAAATACTTTACAACAATTTTGAATTCGTTATAGTTTCAGACGTTATAGAAACTATAACGTCTTGTTGGCACTCGGCATATCAAATTCGCCGTGCCAAATCCACCGTGTATAACTCTTATTGAAACCATCGCAAAGGACATGCTCTCTGATTTCTTCAACACATAGTCGTCAATTGTTCAGGCAATTCACACACGTACAATAAAATTTTTCATTTATACTTTCGGAATCATGTCGCTTAGCAAACTCCAAAAAGTCTTCCACTCCATTCTCATATTCAATACTTGTGCGCGTAGCATTTATCCACTTACGATCCATAACATCCTAAAATGTTCATGTTAAATCGACAATTCGAATAAGGACAATATATTAAGAATTCTATTCTTAATATTACTTGACAAAATCCTAGCCAAAAAAAAAAAAAAAATTACTTGACAAACGAAGTGAAACTAGAACATCTTAATCTATGTGAATATCAAAACATAAAACAATAACTCTGGATGTATATATAGCTGCTAGCTCCTGGAAACGGATATCATATACATATACAAGTCAATATAATCACCATATACAAGTCAATCAACACAACCGAAAAAACCTCAATCACGCAAAGTCGCAAATGCAATCTGAAAAGTTTTTATTGTGCCTAGGTTCTGGACTTATTAATAGTTTTTGTGTTCATTGCNAGCAGAGATGCTTCCTAGAAAGAAAAAATAAGAGTGAAAATGATAAAATCTGCTGAGGGAATCCAATGAAAAGTATCTACAAATAAAAATATTCATTTCATTATCTGAACAACCATATGATTACAGCTTTATATAAATCTTAAAATTCCTCGGCTTTTGCATTTATGTTAAATAACTACAAAGAAAAAAATTCCTCAGCTTTTGCATTTCATGATATATATATGTATATATCATGTGTTTGTAAGTACAAAGAAAAAAAATAGAAGTACAAGAGTCAAGAAATGTGAAAGCATGTAAATGGAAGAGTGGGTCAGGCAAAAATTTCTTTAAGCAGAAGCATGTATTATGCACAGAAAAAATACCAACATATAACTGACATATAAATCTTTAGGCTGGAAGAGAAGGACAAAACAAATCCTAGGCCAAAAAAAATTGCTCGACAAACGAAGTGAAACTAGAACATCTTACTCGATCACATGACTCCTTAGCTGTAAAAGTTAAGCTTGTTCATTCAAGATTTTTCTGGTATAATGGCATATCAATTCGAACAAATTACCTAATAAGTTATATTATATACTCATTTGATGGGCTAATGATGTAATCCTTTTTTTGGCAGAATCAAGCTACAGTGGACCCTCGCATGGACTTGGGCACAGAAAGGTCTTAAACTCATTCTCTGCATGCAAAAATTAGAAACCCACATTTTCATTTTGTAACCTTTTGTGTGTGTGTGTGTGAGAGAATTTAGTTTAATCCACTGTTTTGGATTCTTGACATATCTTTCTCCTGATACACCATACGTAGTAGAAAAAACAGATTTTATAACGGGTAAAAAAGGCTTGACAAAACAAAATCCTAGCCCAAAAAAGAATTACTTGACAAACGAAGTGAAACTAGAACATCTTAATCTATGTGACTATCAAAACAAAAAACAATAACTCTGGATTGCATATATAGCTGCTAGCTCCTGGAAACGGATATCATAACATATACCTATACCAATTCGACCAACATGTACATGAAAGAAACTCTTATTATAATCACAAAACATAAGTCAATCAACACAACTGAAAAAAACTCAATCACGCAAATGCAATGTGAAAAGTTTTTATTGTGCGTAGGTTTTGGACTTAATAATAGTTTTTGTCACCACACATAATTGTTTTTATTGTTACCATTATCTTATTCTTTTTGTAACCTATTGCAATCAAGTAAATAGGCAGCAAGAATAACAACTATTAATAAGTCGTAGCAATGAACAAAGAAGAACTAATTTTACTGTTATTCTTCAAGTGGTAGCGAAATACATGGAACAAATAACAAAGTTTCATAACCACAGCAACTCAACATATGATCCTTGGAATACTCGATCACATGACTCCTTAGCTGTAGAAGTTGTGGAAAATTTTGGCAGAACTTGAGAAAATATGTTTTATTTACCTCAATAAATGTTACTCAAGCACATTGCATATAACATATCATGCTCTTCTTCAAGCAACAACAAACAACAACAAGATACCCAATATATTCCCAACAGGTTGGGGTCTGGGGGGTCAGTTGTACGCAGACCTTACCTTGTAATTATACAAGGAGGCTGTTTCCGTAGCGACCCAGGGTGCATTGCACCGTTTGCTATATTTTTTTTTTCTAGAAACTTCACTAATAGAAGAAGCACTAGAATTTAATTTGAGCCATTTTGATCTAGTCCATTATTAGCATTATGCCAAGAGAATTGTCAACAATGACTCTTCTTCAAGCATAACCACATAATTGAAGTCGCCAACATGCGAAACATACATTTAAAAGCAAAATGCGAAACATATTCATCTTAAACCCCAACAGCAAAACATATTCATCTTAAATCTCCACAACAACATACCCAGTATATTCCCAACAAGTTGCCAACAAGTTGGGATGTGGGGGGTCAGTTGTACGCAGACCTTACCCTTGTAATTATACAAGGAGGCTGTTTCCGTAGCAACCCAAGGTGCATTGCGCCGTTTGATATATATTTTTTTTCTAGAAACTTCACTAATAGAAGAAGCACTAGAATTTAATTGAGTCATTTTGATTTAGTCCATTATTAGCACTATGCCAGGAGAATTGTCAACAATGACTCTTCCAGCCCCATTTGCAATGGACAGGATTCATCTTAAATCTCCACATATGCAAAACATAGGCTTCTTCATATAAAACAGCAACAGCAACAGCAACAGAAGAGAATAAGTACTACCAAAAGAGGGTGAGAATCTCACAGACGAGGGCTGAGGGGGACGGGTTACGTGCGAACACAGCCTGGTACGAACGGCGAGCACCAGACGTCGAGCCTCAATGCAGCTTCACGGCAAGGGCTCAGTACGAACGTGCTGTGTGAACGAACGCGGGTACCGGACGGCGAGGGCTCAGTACGAAGTGCAAATGCTCTTACTCTTATTCATAAAATGGGGCGTTACACGTACCACCACAAAATTGTGAGGAAAACTGTACAGTTCGCAGCAGTTTTCTGGGTTCTATATCTGAACGTCATTTGAACGAATGCCTACGTAAGTCCTGCAATTTCACCAATACCATGAATGGCACAACACATGAGTAGAAATTATACTGTTATCAATATCTATCCATAAAAAATTACCTAAGAAATCATATTTCGAAAATCACAAAGAAGAAAGATTATATTACATAACTAAAGAATCAATGCCCTGTTAGTCACAAAACTAAATAAATTACCTGGACAGCCATAAGAAACACGACCCCTAAAATGAATTCCAGCTCAGTCTCACAATCCAACCCGCATAAAATAAAGCACGACTGCACGAGCCATGCAAAAGATCAATCTTATCCAGATAACAGCTTTCACGATCCAACTCAAGCAGAATCAATTCCTAAACAAATTCCCACATCATACCCTCACCAGTAATCCCCACACGAACACACCCCATCCTTAAACCGATGAAACCTACTCGAATCCCTCACCGTAATCTCCCTACCCACAATCCTCGAGATCACCTTAATAGCAGCATGGCAATCCACGCACGCCCTCAAATTCTTCATCACCACTATCGGCAAACTCTCTTTAGTCTTAATAAGAGCAAAAGCAATCGCCAACCTCTCACTATGGTACTTGAGCGACTCAGCTTTTGCCACGTCGTCCACTTTCTGTAAGGCACAGCTCACATCCGGCTGGTACCCTTCTGCTTCCATCCTCTCCGCCAGCTCATCTATCTTCCTCCTAATCTCCTTACTCAACGGGTGGGACCTGTCATTAACTGAAAACACGTGCACCTCGCGATCCACCTCAACCCAGCTGTTGGCCGGCACCTTGCGGACCCCACGCTCACGCATGGCCTTCTTGACCTTCGCCACGTCATCCCAGTCCCCGGCCTCCGCGTAAATATTCGACATCGTGACGTAAGCTGCGGCGTCCCTGAGCCCGTCGAGCTCGAAAAGCTCACGGGCAGCTCTTTTTGCAAACTCCAGATTTTTGTGGATCCTGCACGAGTTCAAAACCGAAGACCACATGATCTCGTCGGGCTCGAAGGGCATCCGCTCCATCCAGTCCTCGGCCTCTGCAAACCGGCCCCTCCGGCAGAGTACGTCCACCAGGGACGCGTAGTGGTCCCTTCGCGGGACGAGCCCACAAGTCCGAGTCATCGTGTCGAAATAGCGAAGGGCCTCGTCCACTCGCCCGTTATGGCTGCAAGCGGTTAACACCGAGAGGAAGCTGACGTGGTCGGGCCTGAAGCCCAAACTCGCCATCTCATCAAACAAGCGAAAAGTGGCCTCGGCATCCCCATCCTTCGCGTACGCCGAGATCATCGCGTTCCACGTGATGCTGTTCCTCTCGGGCATGCTTTCGAAAATCGCGACCGAGTCTCTCAACGATCCGCATTTCGCGTACATGTCCAAGAGGGCACTCGCGCAATAAACGTTGGACTCGAATCGAGCAGTTATCAGACGTGCGTGCAGTTGCTTTCCCAACGAAATCAAGGCCAAGTTTGCCGAGGCGTTCAATATGCTCGCAAAAGTCGATTGGTCCGCATGGATGTCGGCTCTGCGCATCTCGTTGAACAAGTCGAGGGCCTTGGGATCGAGGCCATGGTGGACGTAGGCCGAAATTATGACCGTCCAAGGGATGGTGCCCGTGTATGCCAAACTCCTGAATAAAGTATTGGCCTGCTCGAACTTTCCGCATTTTCCGTACATGTCGACTAAGGCGTTCGCCACTTGGGTTTCTGAATCTGCATTCGTAACGAGAGCCTGCGCGTGTAACTGCCTTCCCATCTTGATATCCTGCTTGTTTGCAGCTACACTCAGCATGGTCGCAAAAGGAAAATCCCTCCGGCTAAAATTGGTCAGCCGCAATTGTTTGAAGAGATAGAGTGATTCATTGAGCTGCGCGTTTTTAGCATAACTCGTTATAAGAATGTTGTACGAGACACCATCCAACACTGGCATCTGGTCGAACAATGTTCTCATATCCTCAACGAAATCATGCTTGGAGTAAAAATCAAGAAGCGCGTTGCAAACAAACACGTCCTGGATAACATTGGCCTTGATGACCAGCCCGTGGATCAGCAACCCGAGGGCGGTGTCATTTAGATCGGCACACGCCCGTAAAAGTGCGGCAAAGGTGAAATTAGTGGGTCTAAAACCGTAACTCTGCATCCCCGAGAAGAATTTTACTGCATCGCCAATTGCACCTTCTCTCGAGAAGCCTGTGATCATCGTGTTGAAAGTGATGGTGTCTCGCAGGCCCATCTCCATAAAGAAGTCAAAAGCCAAGTCAAGACTCTGGGACTTGCAGTAGGAATCGAGCAAGGTGTTGCAGAGTGACAGGTCTGCTCTGACCCCAAGCTTGGCAACCTGGGCATGGACTTGGCTCACATCCCTTTTCGTAATCGTCTCATCACAGCCCGACAAGACGGTTGTAAACGTGACCGAATCGGGCCTCACATCTGTCCTCAGCATTTCGACAAAAAGGCTAAAAGCCTCTCTGGGCTGATTGTTCTGTGCGTACCCACCGATTAGTGTCGTCCAAGTAATCGCAGTCCGGTCTGACATGCTGTTAAAAAGCTCCCTGGCATGAAAGAGGTCGCCTAACTTGAGGTGGCAGGAAATCATGATGTTAAATGACAAAGTGTTTCTTTGGGGCATTCGGTCGAACAGTTCGCTTGCCTCAGAAATTTGGTTCCTTTTAAGTAAATCTTGGAGCTGGTTATTGTGGCGGCTCGTCTCTAGGTTGAACGCTGTTTTGATGGCATAGGCGTCTATGGCATTCATGCCGTATTTTCTGAAATTTTTTAACCGATTTCACTTTTTTTCCTCCTTACTCAAGCAATCAGCTAATAGAAGAATAACCAGAGAATAATGGAAAAAATAACAGGAATAATAATAATAATAATAATAATAATAATAATAATAATAATAATAATAATAATAATAATAATAATAAGATACCTATGTGTAGAATACAATCTCTTAACGGTCCTATTCCATTGGTTCACAGCCTTTGGATTGTTCATGTGGTTAAATTGTCGACCTGGGGATGGGAACAATAATGGATACTTCATAGATGCTCCAAGAAGTGACAAATAGAGAAAACATTGGGGCCTTTATACTAACTAGTGTGTACCCCGTGCGATGCACGGGAATAATATTAAATTAACAATATTATAAATAGACCTCGAGTTTGAGTCACTCAGTAACGGAAGTGGAAACTACTATTGATCCTATTTAAAAAGAGGAAGAAAAAATAATAATTATAAATTAAAGAGGAGGATAAACAATACTTAATAATTATAAATTAAAGATTCGGGGTCAAATAATGTACAATTATTATGTATAAGAGAATATAAAAAAATTTGATTACACACCATTTCAAAATTATTATTATACTTTTTTGTATGATTAGTTTATATTTGTAAAAATATTAGTAATTATTAGCTTCTTAAAGTAGATATTATAATATTTGTAAAAATATTAGTAATTAGACCGATGAAAATTAGCTTCTTAAAGTAGATAATGGATTTCTAGTAGTAATTATGAATTAGGTTATATTTTATTTTATTTTTTCTTTTCAAAGATAATGAATTTCTAGTAGTAATTATGAATTAGTTTCTATTTTATTTTATTTTTTCAAATTTGTATAGATAAGGGATGAGAATTTTTTAAACACGTGAGACGTATGCAATGGGATTTTGTAACAGAAGAGATAAGCTCATGTAGATTTATACTAAAAATAGGAAAAAAAAAATAAATATTTATTGTCAAACAACGATTTTGATAAACTAAAAAACAGGAAAAAGAGAAACAATTTTTTACACAATTAATGAGACAATTTATTTGTCTATTCAGATTTATCCAACAATTACTATATATAGGATATATTTAATGATTTTGGCGGGAAAAAGTTTCTAAATTTGTAAAAAGGTTATTCTTTTTATATAATGATAGATAATTTGAACCGACATCGTATTTTCGTGTTATTTATATTATCTGATCATAAATATAAATATAATACTATATATTTTTTCTATTTTGTATTTTTTTACTTTATGTTTTGAGTCATACTGTGTTGAGTGTATTTTTCAACTAGTGCAGAGCCCGTGCGATGCACGAGTTGCATAATTTTAAGGCTATTTATCCAGACTTATAATTATATACATAATTTTAAAGGCTATTTATCCAGGCTTATAATTATATACATGAATAAAGAAAAATGTATGGGATATATATAGTACGTGATATATTTATTTGGGGAATATTATATTATAAGGTGCAATATTAAATAAAAGTTTTATAAGACGATGGCTCACTATTTTGAGATTTATAATTTATAATTGGTAGATTAGATACAATTAGATAAGATTTTTTTTGTAGAAAGATAAGAAGGAATTTTAAATCTGCACAAACTATAAATATTAGATGCATTGATTTACGTAAATCAATATCTATATAGACAACCAAATTTTTCAATTTAAGCTTGACATATAATTTATTTATGGTAAAATCAAGATTATATCTTTCAATCAAATTTACCTTTTTTTTTTGTTTTACGTACAATTTTTTTTATACCGATTTTATAGCAAAAAACAATTAAATAAAAATTAATTTATGGAAATAGAATGCATTAATTACCTTTAACTTTTCTTTCTACTAATTTTAGTAAATGGGATGACTCTTTATATAAGTATAGATATTCTTTCTACTAATTTTAGTAAATGGGATGACTCTTTATATAAGTATAGATTACCTTTTGGGAAACTAAGCATTTGGTTAACATTGAAAGTGTCTTGTGGAGGATGGATGATTCATTACTGCTGAAACAGAATGATATCCAATAAGAAAGTGGACACAACTTATTAAAGAGAGACATATTAACAATATCTTCTGTTCGGAGAAGATACGGAACCTTGTGTAGAGATTATCATATATGAAAGCACACATGACACATGTACATGCAAGCACAGACATAAAAGAAAAGGGAAGTATGCTTCACGAATCACAATGTAATATGGCTTTGAAGTACATTAACCATGAAATTATTCGATCTGAATCTAATAATCATTTTACCAACAAAAGAATCACCAGAAGCAATATCTTTTACAATATCTTTTACAGTTAAATAAGAAGAAAAAAAATATGAAAAGCTTCGCTTAATGAGAAGCTTAAAAGTATAAACAGCTGACAGTAATGAGACATAGATATACAAAATGAATGTACCTTGTTTGAAATGATATACCACAACACAACAACAATAAACGAATAAGTCAAATTCCATAAGGCCTCGTTTACTAGGCTTGAAAGGGATAGGATGGGATATGACAATCTATCCAATGAGTCAGCTTTTGTCAAATGTTTACAAATAATTTTTTTAATCCCATCCAATGTTTACTAACCTACCTTACATGCCATGATAAAACCTAGGAATTTCAAATTTACCCTCATCAAATTTGGTCAACATAAAATTTAATTAGATGCAAGTTAACGCCTTATCAAAAATTAGCCTGAGTCAGTTCAACACACGATATAATTAAATGCATATTAAGGCATTATCAGAAATTAGCCATTTAATACGAACACAACGGATTTTTTGAGCAATCAGTACCCAAATCAGTTCAACACACGATTTAATTAGATGAAAATTAAGGCCTTATCAGAAATCAGTACCCAGAACATAGTTTATCGAGCACGACCAAAAGAAACCATACGCTGCTCCAATTTCAGATCGAGGACATCAATTTCCGATGCTTGCCGGTGATTTAGACATATATACTCGAAAAGGAGAACTCACCTCCGGTTAACAAGCCGCCGATACCTTTAGACGCTGCTCCTCTGATCCGACGGTGCCCAAACCTTTCAAGCCGAACCGAGGCCGCCCATCCGGATTTCCACCGACCACCTTCGCATTCGTCCTCGTCCTCGTCTTACCGTCCTCGTCTTACCGTCCTCGTCCTGCTGTCCTCGTCGATAATGGCATCGTCGTCGTGTTGCTAGGGCTCGGCTGATTAGAACCCACTCGAAAAAGAAATTAAAAAAAAAAAAAGAGGAAGAAAAAGATGGTGATGTACGGGCAGAGAGAGAGGTAGGGCAGAAGATTGGAGCACAATGGCAATTCGGCCTTCGATTTGATTGTATAAGCTATATATCTGTAATTTACTTGACATGCAGGGGTATAATTGCCAATTCATAGGTACTTTTTTGGACAAAATTGGCATTGCATTGCATTGCTGGGATTAAAATAGCGCCTTGGAGCTCGGACAAAATTAACCTGCCTAACTCAATTAAAAGACGTGGGACCCACATGGCACACAATTCACACGTCGAATCCTAATCTCATCCTATCAAGACTAGTAAACGATCCAAAACCGAACCGAATATTCGGTTTTGGTTCAAACCAAATTTTCAGTTTTGGTCGGTTCGGCTCGATTAACCGAACTTTATGCACCCCTACTGACGTTAATGGTTAAAGCCGGAGATTGTGATTTATATAATACCGAATGCATTATTGGATTATCTAGCTTCTCAAGTTAGCAATTTGTGCTGAGATACCAATCATTATGCAAATTTAAGCATGAGATAACCATTTTTATCTTTTATTTCTTTTCCCGACTGTCCCAGGCCAGAGTAACAAATCTTCATTCGAGGAGAGAGAAACATTTTATTTTGCTGCAAGGGAAAGAATATTTTCTTCAGATGCAAGGGAGAAAAGAATGGTGAAGGAGAGGCCAAAACATGATCCTGTGGTTGCCCGCTGTATGATAACTCATGCACTTGGCCATTCAGACAAGGTGACACAACATGAGCCAAGTTCAGATGATGCTAAAGATGTTGCACAAGCAGAAACTGGTTTGAAATTCCAGTACACAGAATATGAGAGGGACTTGTGTGCTAGAGACGAGCTGGGGAAAAACTCAACTCCCAGGACATGTGAGACCTCATAAGAAGGCCGGTCAAAGAATAGCATAAAAAAAAGTGATGATTGTTTGAGAAATGAGCATATGGGAGCTGCCAAGAGATTGTTTGCTAATGCTCTGGGGATGCATCCAAGGGATGCCAATCACCCTAAGTGTGATGGAACAAGGAATTCCAGTTACTCATAAATGATAAATTCACATTTGCTCTGTATAATTGTGAATTGACGGTCTAATAATTGTGGCAGATACAGATTTGGAAGCTTTGTGGCCCCTAATATGACAAACTGTCTTTTTTGCAATCTCGCGACTCCTCTAGTGCATCAAGGTAATATTAACAAGCATCATTCAACTTAAACGTACATGCCTGTAGTTTAGTGATTTCAAATAACATGTGTACGTCGGATTCCTAAACATGTAACTATCAAGGGAATATTTCTCGTCCAACTTTGCTTTAGTTCATACCTCCGACGAGTATTTTTCTACAATCCCGTACATACAAAAAACTATATAGATATACATATTCAAGTCTACCCTCCAGAAGCTTAAACTTCATATAGGGAAAAATTTGTACATCCTCTAGAGCCGGCAACATATACGCAGCTGAACATGCAAGGTCATTCCAGAGTTTAATTTTTCTAAAACACAGATCAAACTCCGGTTTGCGTAACGTTCAACGTTCAAACCTTCTGTAATTGGTTTTGGACTTGTAAGGCTTCCAATATGCTATTAACCCACCTGATAGAAAGAATGGAAGGGAAAGGGCGAGAAAAAGTGACATACGATTTGATTCATCTAACATATAGAATATCACTATGCATACACACAGATGAATTTGTTATAAGAGAATAATGCAGCTTCATTTGCTATTATCCAAATGTATTGGAGAAAATTTACAGAAGGAACATAGTCTGGTCAATCGGATAATAGAAGGATAGGAAGCTAAGCAGTCAATGAAGCGTGTTTCATCGCGTAAATATGATAAGATGAATTTTGAAAGGTATTTTCAGCTATAAATTTATTGTAAAGGTATTTATTGAAGACATTGCTTTATCATAGTTATGAAGGAGATATATAATATGTATAGGACATAATGATTTACATGTAATGTGAACAAATAAAAACATGTTCTTCTCGACTCCAGACATTTCTCATCATAGGAGAAATATGAGAAATAAAATGTCCCCATGGAATAAACCCATGAAATAAAAGGTACTTTGACCGTGGGAAAATAAAAGTAGACGGAAAAAGACTTCAATTAAGGAAATGCATATTGAAGCACACGTAAGATTTGAGAGTTTAGAAGACATAGCTCTTAAAGAGAAAAGACATATACCCTTCAATGCCTGGATTTTCGGGAAAATACACATTCCTTAATCCCAGTTTTTTAGCAGCTAACGCAGTTGTGCCCCCTATACATGCAACAGCATTATCCCACCGTTGTGGTTCTGGTATTAAGCTGATCCATGCACTGATACAAGCAGAAAATAAAAAACAAAGNTAACTATCACAAGTTTACAGTTTTACCGAATCGCAGAAGGTGATGCTACAGCGATAACAGGAGCTAAAAGTGCTTGTTCTAAAACAATTTCATCCACGTGGTTGACAAGTTCCTGTGTAGGAGAAAAAAAAAACACTCAAACAAACTTCTGGTTCAACAACTAAATAAAGTGGAACCAATATTTAGTTGTCGAAGACCTGAATGCATGTTCACCAAACGATGTCATAAACAAACATATATTACGCATCCACATACTCCACTAGAGATCTCACATTTCAACTTTTTCAACTAGTAAATGCACAACCCCGTGTTTACTGATGCTTGTAATCAACCAACCCCTTTAAATTGATAGTAGAATATTCTGCCAACAACAGGTTCATATTACTAAGGGCTTCCTTTTAAGCCTGACAAATAAGCCACTTGGATGGTCATTAGCAGGTTGAAACGGCTACAGGCATACACAGGAAGCTCCACACCACGTTTCTCCCTTTTCTGAAGTTTCTTCTTTTTTAAGAAACAAAGTCTCTAAATCACATTACATGAACCATAGACCCAATTGAATTTCAAACTACGTGTCACTCTTACGGTCTCAGATGAATAAATGCATCAGATTAATGTACAGGGCTCATAGATAACAAACTAAGATAAGCTGATAATAAAATTCAGTAAGTTATTATTAGTTTACGATGCAGAAACTCAAGGTCACTAATATAACAAACATAAATGGATTGCACGCAACACTTCTTTCTTAACAACGGAAACCATGACGAACCGTATTCCTATGATTTAGAAGCTGTATATCCTACCAATCTCAAGTGTGCTGATAGAGTTGTGGCTACCAACAATGTTCAACTATACAACCATATGGCATGTTACATTACCAAGAGAAGCGTCATACCGTGGTATATGTGTTCAGTCTAGTAACCTCAAATCCACGCTTCGTAAGGCCTTCCTCTACAGTAGAAAAGGCGACAGTTAAAATTATTCTGCAAGAAGTACAAGTTCATAGCCACTGCCAAATATTTGTAATAAGCAATGTACGACAAGAACACCTATTATTTATGCTTGTCAGCCAAAAAATTCTCCCCAGCAATTAATCAGCGCCCCTCGGCAGCTGGGAGCTGATGCGATGCCTAGCACTTTTTTTAGTTTTTAGAATATTTCATTTAAAATTTGAAGCAAAGAAATGAAGAAAAAACAGCCATCATCAAGACTGGTCAGAACAAAAAAGACTAAAGACAACCGAGGGAGAAATTAAACAGCCTCTCATCGATCTTAATCACCTCACCTTTCCTCCTGTTGTAAGACCGTCAGTGTTATCAAATGGCGGCCATGGCGGTATGGAGTGGCAGATTTTTGTCTATCAGACATGCAAAATTTGTGAAGGATGGTGTTCATGGCGGAATTTTGGCAAACAACCATGTACAACCATCCGCCATTAATAACACTGAAGAACGTTTCTACCGCCGTCTGCTTTCTCAGCCTCAAGGCCACCAAATTAAGTATTTCAGAGTTTTTCCTTATCAATGACTATTATAATTATAATTATACTCTATTAGGATTTTATTTTACGTTTTTTCTTTAATATATGATATATATTTAAATTCATTGGAGTTTATGGTTTCGGATTTGAATGATTGAAGAGACTTGAAAGATTGAAGAGAATAAAGTGGTGACTTACATTTAAAGAATTCATTAGAAACCTAGAAGTTAGATTTACTAAAACTTAAAAATGCAGACAAGGTGTTTGATAAAATACCAGTTGCCTTCTCAGTTATCCATAACTCAGTTTCCGGCAAAGTAAATCAATTTCTTGATTTTGTCAAACAACAGAGAGTGACTGCTTGCAGGTTCTTCAGATTTTTTTTGAAACAAATCGTTCAATGGATAATTCATACTCCCAATTTATGGTTCACTTTTGTTTGTCTGAAAGAGTTAAATCTTTACACTTCATCGCTTTACTACAACAACAACAACAACAACAACAACAACAACAACAACAACAACAACAACAACAACAACAATAATAATATAATAATAATAATAATAATTAGCTTATTTGTTAGTCTGACTGTTTTTCATTTTTTGTCTACAGCCATCTTGCTTATTTCAGTTGTTAGTTATTCCATTTCTGTGCTTCAGGCTTTGGAAATAGCATCTTATTCAAACGAAAATTAGATGATATGGGTTGGAACTATGGTTTGCTAGCTGATTCACCTAAGACATGCCCAAATGCTTGTTATGTGAGAAAGCTATGTTGGGCGGTATTTGTAGACTAAAAAGGCACGCAGGTCAAATTCCAGGGAATATTGTTTCTTTCTTGCAGTAAAGCGACAATATGAGATTAAGCCAAATGTAGATGCAGTAGTGAGTTCCCAAGAGGATAAAGAAGAATAAACTTGAAGAAGAGAGTCTATCTTCTGTTACTTCAAAGGGCTGAGTATTGAGCCTCTTCAACAGCAATAAAATGAGAAATCATCCCACTCCCTTGGTACAATGGACAAATTTACTATAGCCTATCATTGAACGTGGCAAAGAGTCAAAGACAATGCAACCTCTCTGGAAAGACCGGTCAAATTTGGTGAAAATTGTTGAGGCTGCGATTGGAAATAAAATATTTTGGATTAGATTTGATCTGTGAGTTAATTTTGAATAACGATTGAGTGGAGATTTTGAGTTTGTGTTTAAAATAATATGTACTATTAAAGTTCATGTGATGTGCTACAATGATTGATTAATATTATTTAATTATATTGATAATATTGGGAGTTGAGTTGGATTAAATTCGAGTTCAAATGTGTTAAAAAATTATCCGGATAAAATTTATGTCCAATCGCAGCCTTAAGCTTATTGGATTAATGAAGTTGGCATATCTTTTAGTGTGCTCCACCTTGATAGCTTTTTAGGCTATTTACTGAAGCGATTGGTCAATTTGCCTATCCCATATGAAACGAGAGAGCCATTATTGAAGAGAGCGGTCGAAACTTGAAAGAACCAAAAATTCAAAGTTAAGCCTCATGAAGACAAATGGAAGAGGAGTGATTGCTTGATTAAGACGGATGCTTAAAGCGATTGAAAGAGAAGCAACATGAATTTTTGTGTGTGAAATTTAAAGTCGGAACAATATTTATCTCTTCTAAGGAATCTTATGATGTAACCCACACAACCAAAATGATATTAGAGCATGTGGATCATTACATTGAGCAAATTGGGTAGATAAAGTCATTCAAGTATTGACAAACAATGCTCAAATAATATGGGTGCGGCATTATATTTGCGTGGAAAGACACCAACTATCTTTTAGACTTCATTGAACAAGCAAATGCAGTGAATATCTTCATTTATGCGCATCATAAGACCTTAGGCTATGATGAGGTCATATACTAAAAGAAAGGACATAGTAAGTTTCACACAATTTTGCTTATTCATTCCTTAACTTGCAAAGTCTGATGGAGGGAAAAAAAAAAACACTTAAAGGATGTTTAGTAGCTCTGAGTGGGAGAATGCAAATGGTCCAAGATGGCGAAAGAGAAATCAAGTTATAAAACTGTGATGTCTTGGTTTCTTGGCTTTTGGAATGGTGTGAGATCTTGTCTAACCATTTATGCTCCTTTAGTAAAGAATCTTCGTATAATGGATGCTAAGAGAAAGCCATCGATGAGTTTTTTGTATGGGGAGCTTATGCAGACAAGATATACATATATTGTCGTGAACAATTGTGCCAAGAACTATGACAACATCGAGAGGATGAATGATAAGGAGGACACGATGCATTTATGATCTATCTACTAAATCCTTATAATAGACAAGGATCCACATCTCATATTAGACCAAGTTGTTTCGAATAGAGTTTGTCATCTGTCACGAAAACTTTGAATTGATGATAAAATTATGAATGTTGAGTAATTAATTTACTAGACAAATGGAGTTCTTGGGAAGCCAATGGTAAAAAGGTGTGAAGTAAATGGCGACAAGTTTGATCCAGGTAAATGAGACAAGTTTTTATTAAATTTTAGTTTTTATATTTGTTTATCTTCTCATATTTCGGCTTCTTGAGTTATGTGTTGGTAAAATTAACCACAAGCTCATCCGGTAGTGAAAGGAATTTGAGTGTATTCTACAGGGGTGGTTGGATATTTCTTTTTATTTTTAGTTGTTTTTTCATTATTCCATTGTTACCATTTTTCTTGACATATTATATTTTACTTATACGTATTTTTGTATACATATACATATTACATACAAAGAGAAGGAATCGACTAGATGCTTCACGATTGAATATGTCCAATTAAATTCTCATTTATTACACGGGCACAAGAAAGAGAATAAGAAAGATGTGTTCCATGCTAGCAACGCAAGTAAAGCACAAAGGTGAATTATTCCATATGAATTATTCCATGACTGGTCGACGATGAAGATGAGGACGTTTATGGAATTAGTTATATTGGTAGTTCTGGAGTGAGTGAGCTTGAGGAAGAGAATTTGAATCCGAGGAGAAGCAGCTTAATGAGAATGATACTAACTTTATGAAGAGCATGTATTGGAGAATAATGGAGATTTTTTTTTTTTTTTACTTGAGAGTATTTCATAGTTACTTGTTCTGAGTAGTTCGTTTGCTTTAATTTGTTCAAGAAATATTGTAATAGACTAATCACGTCGTCATGTTTTCTTTTGGCATTTGTGCTTGACATTACTCAGTTGTGGACTTGTGGCCATATGGGCATTTATTTTGAATATTTGAAATGGGATGTGTAGAATTGTAAGTATGAATAATTTCATTAATTAAATTATTTATTTATTTATTTATTTTTTGAGTTTTCTTATTTACTATTATAGTAGGCTTGGGAAAAATAAACTAAAAACTAAGGTATTTAAACTTAATTTTGAAATTTATGCTTAATTTCTAGGCACCTGCCTAGGTGCCTATATAGCGTCTAGGCCGCCTAACGACTTTTAAAACCTTAGTAATTAGTAATGAATTGAATTGCAGGCATGCCACGTTTCTTCAGTTATATGGAATCTGAATGAAAATTCTCAAACAAGCAACCCTCCCGAAAATTTTTGCCACATATAAAACTCTAGCATCTACTCATGAGTTATAGATATTCTTCAAACTAGCTTAAAACTTAAAAGGCCACCGGAGATTTATAACAAACTCTAGTTTCCTAACTAGATAGTCGCTTATGAAACTTAGTTTCATTTAATTAAAAACAAAAAATGGCGAAAATCACACTTGAAACTGATGAGTAAAGTAACATAACGGGAAAGTCGCAATCGAAGGATGAGAAGAATATAGTCAGTAAACTTCCGAACAGAAAATGTCAACCAATGTATGAGTAAGTGACGAATATGTACATGCTAAACATAATTCGAAAAATTACATATAATGTCCAGATCTGAATTTAAGTTAACTGAGAACATCAATCAACGTAGATAAAATAAAGAATAGCAAGTTAATTTTAGCCTGAGATTATGTTCAACTCTCAAGTATGCAAAGCAGCAAATTTTGGGATGAAATGCACCTAATGAATAAGTTCAGAGCTTACCAATCTCATTGCTAGCTTTTGCTGAAGCAGGGTACAAAACTGTGCACCTTTGATTTCCATTATCCGGTAGCTCAACTGCCAAAACCTTGCCAATAGCTGAGATCACAAATTCAAGTTAGTTACTTTTCTTTCTTTTCAAACCTGGCCATCTCGAACTCTGTTGTTATTCATAATGTAAAAGTCTGGAACTAGCTTTAAACACCTTTTGATGGCATAAAAGCCACGTTCAGACTTTGTTTCAGAGACGGCTGAATTTTTTCAAAAACACATGCGGTACCAGCTCCCACAACTCCAACAGTAACTTTTGGTGTACCTGCAGCTCTGTGGACCAAAAGCTTCTGTGTCTGAACTATCATCTTAATTCATTTATAAAAGTAACAGTTAGAAAATTTCTCTAAACGAGACAACTTTAAATCGGTTTGAACTGAATGGTCCGAAGATGTCATGGTTATATATCTTCTCTAACTAAAAGGTGCATGGCATACAGTTCTTCCAAGGAAGAAGCGCCTCAGGATTTTATGATTCTATAAGGTTGAAACAATCATATTACAAGACTACAACAAGATCTACACAAAGTGCAATTCACATAGCGCAATTAGATAGATTTTCCCCAAACCAACTAGAAAAATTAGCACATCTTGCTAGTGGTGTTATGGAAGATAGCTTGCGAGTGCAAAGACCCATGCTTAGACTCATACAGACCTAAGGCTACAATCAGTTGACTAAGCAGGAGGTTTTCTGGTTTGAACCAAGATAGATATTATAAAAACCAAATTTTCCACCAATATGAAAAGTGGGCCTTTGAAAGTGATGCATTGTCAATTGAAAAGTTCTCCACTGAACTGAAGGTCAAACCTGTTTGATGAAATAAATCTAATAACTAGTTGTAACTTGAAAGTTAGACAAATACACCTTGCAGATCCTAGTTTTAAGCTTGAATCAATTAAATTTAGCTTGTTAGTATCCTTTTCCTGCATAGATAATGTTGGAAATGTATGAAAACACTCTCATGAATTCCAGTTTCCGCACATTTTTTCCACACGTTTTAATGTATTTTTTTGGCAATTCAAAACATATTAATCAATTTAGTCACCAGCATGGAAATAATTTAATTAAAGCAGAAGTATTGCAGAAGCAGCTCTTACTTCCAAGCATCAAGAAAAACCAAGCCAGCTTCAGGTGAAGTTATGATGGTCCAGTCAAATGAACTGCCTGCAACACAAGGATAGCCAGACATCAAAGACGCAAATGAATTAGCATTTCCATTAGGGATCATCAAATTTTAACAACATGAACTGATATTTCAAACATGCATGTGCTCATGCATGCACACACACACAAAAAAAAATAACAAGTATTACAAATTAACAATCAACTTGCAAAAGATGATATAAAATGTTCAGTGTTGTAGCTTCTTCAGGGGTATTTATGGTGTAAAAGATGAGAGTATGATATCCATTTGAATTGGTCCTGAGATTGGATATTGGTGCAACTCTTTGAATTTTCACGAGTTTCAGTAGCCATACACATTTATCCGTAACTAATCTTAGAAATCTACTTTTTCAACCTTTTAAGTTTTAATGGAACTTAGACCAGCTCAAAGTATGAAAAGCAATACATCCAAATTTTTTAATCGTTCATTAGTTTGTTGAACATAAAATGGCATGTTGGATGCATTAGTGCCTACAAAAAGTACCGCAGGACCAACATGATACAAGTGATTTATCAGAGACTCGGTAAGTTAGGAAAATAATACACATATGAGACCATCATAGAGACATGAACAGGGACTAAGCCATGACATAAATCATGAAATAAGCCAACTGATAGAATCATGAGGAACTTACTGCTCAATAGAGAAGAAAGCTTGTCCACATCAGATAACTTAGTATGCTGGATTAGAGGCAGCTCTAGACAGGTAATCCTGCGATTTGCCTAGAAATGGAAACATATTACAGACCCATACATCATATAAAAGAACATTCTCAAGAAGTTACGTCATTCAAATGATGCATCATAAGAACGAGTATCATAATGCAACTTGCTAAAAGATGAAAGGGTAAGAAACTTCATTACATATTAAGTTATACAGTGGCATTTCGAATCAGGAACCACCAAAAAAGCACAACAGAAAGTAGAAGAGAAACCTCCCAATTAGATGTAATATAATTTCAGTAAAACCAGACATAAAACTTTGTGCTCCTGTTGCTGATAGTGGCGGAGCCATGTGGGGTTGGTTGTTGTTTTTGGGATGTATTCAAGATTTATACAAATCTTGAAAAGTTGCCCCAATTGTTGAATTGAAGATGAATTTCAGGAGAAAAATATCTCCATTTCTGCTTTGTTTCTTAGCTCAAAAATCCAACTGAAAATACGTACAAATGTGGCTTATATACACATTTTGCATGCAGACATGTTCGAGACCAAAACGGTGCCGTATCAACTAATTCAAACGGCATCGTTTAACTATGAACTAGAAAAGGAAAAATGCAAAAGAAAAAACTAAGCACAACATTGAGCTGCAAAATAAAAAAAACAAAGGCAACTAACAAAAAACAGAAATAGAAAAGGAAAGAAAGCTGCTCCACTGCCTCCACTGCCTGCTGCAAACTTCAACTTCAAGTTTCAAGCTGCTCCACTGCCTCCACTGCCTCACCAAACTTACATACTTATACTTGTCCTTTTTGTGCCTTTTCATATCCATGCGATGGTGATTGGTGACATATACACTTCCTTAGCCAGATACCCATGCTAGACAGTATTATTCACAACAAGTTGATATAAGTTCCATCTTCTTTGCACTGCAACTGCAATAAACATTCTCATCGTGACAAGTTTGGCCAGATGTGAGAATATATCAAAGTAATTTACCCATTCAACTTGATTATATCCTTTTGCCACCTACCTTGCTTGAGCCATTAGGTTTACTTTTTATTTATATACGCATTTCAAGTCAATTGCCTTTTTTCCTTGTGGTAAATTTGTGAGTATCCATGTCTGATTACTCTCAAGGGCGTCTAAGTCTTGTTTCAATTACACCATTTCGTTGGTGTGTAAATACATGTAGATTCATGCAATATTCCCCTTTCTCTAAAGATATCTTGTAGCCTTTTCTCAAAGAACTCCCTTCCACTGTCCCGACTCTCTTAACCTTGCAATCATATTAAGTTTCTACCATTGAGATGAAAGATTGTAAGATTGCTCGTGATTGTCTTATCTTTAAGAGAAAAACCCAAGTACCTCTATAGTCATCAACCTAAGTAAGAACGTAAAGTACCTCTGATTGTTAGCAGCATTATCCATTTTATCACTGTAGGCATCCTGAATTGTCCTTTGCCTTTCAGCAGTTAATACACTTGAACAAACCTTATTCACCGCAGGTAAGGCTCCGAAAGCATGATTTGAATCTTTAGATTCTCATAACTATCATTCAATCCCATTAGAAACTGAATCTATTTCTTCTCTGATTCATATTGTGCAGCCATTTTCCCTTTTTCACAACCGTACTTGTATTGGTGCTATACAAGCATACTCGTCCCACATCCCACAGTTTTTTGAGTTTGTTGAAATACTTCAAGACTGTAGTGTTTCCCAAAAAAACAATTACGATATATATATGTAGATGATTTATGTTTCAAATTAGGACAAGTGGACTCAGATGCAAAACCTGAAGAAAACGGGTTTATATGCCTTATCCAAAAAAATGATTTTTGCTCTTACTATTAATGAATGATAGTTGTTAATCTAGTGTATGAAAAAATTAATGATGCGCACTCTGTTCATGTGTGATTTTACACCATATGTATATAGTATCTAGAGCTTATTCATTGCATTATTGGTGTATAAATTGCATTATTGTGCTATAATTCTATATCTTGTTGGAAATGTATTACACGTGCTTGTTTTGTAGATATTTTCACATATTTGTAGAGCTTGTGGCTATTGGAGGCGCATGGTGAGTATCTAAAACCCCCGAGATGATGAAAGATTGATGCACGAATGAAAAAAATAGAAGAAACGAGCGAAACGAGCGAAAATGAGAGTGCAGATTTGTGACACGGGCAGTGACACGGGCGCCATGCCCGTGTCAGAGGCCGTGTCACCTCAACAGAGACAATTCGTAACCTGGGAGCTGACACGGGCTGTGACACGGACGGTGACACGGGCAAACTGGCCGTGTCGCGCGCGCAGGCAGTTTTATATCCTACCTATTTTGAACAGGAGAAGGGTTTTGGACATTATAAAAGGCATATTCACCCTATTTTGAGGGGGTGGGATACACAAGGAGGAGGCCCTAGAACACACAAGAGAAGCAATTGGGAAGCAAAAAGAAGATCCAACTACGAAGGGATTAAGAAGATTGAAAGATCGACAAGATTCCTAGTTTTTCTTTCTTCTTTCTTTTGAACTTTTATTTATCATGTCGATTTCTAATATGTCTATGTATTTGAATTCGAACATGAGTGGCTAGTTTATTTGATTCTAAGACTTGGTAGTAGATTAATATGTTGGGATTTTGGATGATTTATTATAATTGATTGTTTTCTTTTAAACCCTATTCAAATATTTTGTTCTTACTTCATGTTTAGCAATTGGCCAATGTTTTTACATGTTTGACAATATTGTTCATAATTCAAGAGATGAGTTCAATATTAGGTCTTTAATATTTGACACAATTTACTTGCTTGAATCGAGAGATTAGTAGGTCGTTGTGAGGATATTAGATCTTTTAATCTATTTGAAGTTGAATTGCATGTGTTGAGTGGAAACGCTAATATATGCGATTTAATCTACGGTTTTATCGATCTTGAGAGGGACGATAAGCTAAATTTGTGATCATCTTATAGGGGAAATAAAGAAAACATTGGTTGTGATACTTTTGAAGGAACTGTTAATTGAAACCATAGTCTTAGAATCTATCGTTCTCCTACATCTTCTTACGTGTTTTTCTAGCTAGTTCCTTATTGTTGCTTTATTTTCCTTTGATTATATTTCCTTAGTTTAGTTAATCCATCTCATATTCGGTCGTCTAAATAAAGTTGGCACTATCATAATTTGGTACTTGATATATTAATTATTTGGTCTCTTGGGATACGACCTTGCTTGCCACATACTATGAGCGAAACCGTACACTTGCAGTTGAGCTTTAAAAATATAGGCGAACACACTGATGCAGAAGAGTTATTATTATTACTATTATTATTATTTAAATATTTAGCAGCTTTCTTGGTGATCAAGTTAGGTTTAGGATTATGAGTCTTATATAAAGGACTCCATTTATTTTCCTTTGATTATGAATGAAATATGAATCGATTTTGAGTTTTATCAAGAAAGTATCTTGTTTATCTTTCTCACTCGTACGTTTCCCTACATCAGTTGTTATCAGCAGTCAGTACGATTCGCGATGCCGCCGGGACGACAAGATGCCGCAAACGAACAATGTGACGTAACCTTCAACGATCGGTTTCAACAGATCGACTACCGATTTCAACAATTGGACGTGCGTTTCACGGATTGGTTTGCCGATCTTTCGACGGGGATCGAGGATTTGCGTTTGACGCTTAACAACATGGTTGTTTCGGATTTGCAGACGAACCGTGATGCCGGCAACCGGAGCGTGCGCGGGGGAGTTCGCGGAGGCCGTGGTCCAGGCGCCTTGGAGATCTCCACAACCACCGTTCAGCGATAAAGACGGCAATGAGACAATCTCGGAGGTGAATCCCTTCGGCGATTGTCCACCCCCGCATGTCGAGGCTAACCCCTTCGCTGCATACGACGGCCGTGACATGCGGCGATGGGGCCCGGTCTTCGTGGACGGCAACGATCAACGCGATGACAGAGGCAAGCTCAAGGAGACTGCCATTGCCAGCGGATATCGTGTCCGACGCGATTGGGGACTTGAGTGTGAATATGGTCAATGGGAGGGTCCGTTTCGCGTTGACATCCCCGAATTCGACGGGGAGCAAATTGACGGGCCATTGTACGATGGTTCGCCGGTGTTTGATGAAGGACCCGAGGAGGTGGAGGAGCGTCTTACCGGCGAAGTGGACGGTCTCTACGACGGTCTATCGATTTTCGATGAGGAGCCTCCGAGGCCAGAGGAATTCCATCATGTTCCGGGTGTCGAAATTCAGTTGTTGGAAGAATTGGTAGTTCTTTTGTTGCGCAGGACCGAGCTTTTCTCTCACGAGAATTTATTGCGGCCTAGCAAACATATGTTATTTTTTGGTCTCCATGGTGACTTCAAAATTCTTTGTATGGTTGTTGCATATGTCTTTTCATAAATTTCAAGGGGGTGATACCATGGAGGTGCGACATTCAACCTTCGTGTTCGACAGGGGGAAACGCCGGGTGATGATTGCCATGAGTACGACTCCGATGTCGACACGTTTGGTGCGGCTTCGAGGGCGAAGCCTTCCGAACCGGAGAAGAATGATGCAGAAGAGTTATTATTATTCCTATTATTATTATTATTTAAATATTTAGTAGCTTTCTTGGTGATCAAGTTAGGTTTAGGATTATAAGTCTTATATAAAGGACTCCCTTTAGTTTATTTTCCTTGGTTGATTATGAATATTGGTTGATTATGAATGAAATATGAATCGATTGTGAGTCTTATCGAGAAAGTATCTCGTTTATCTTTCTCACTCGTACGCTTCCCTACATCACACTCCCACTAAGAATTCCAGGCTCAGTAAATAGAAATAAGGAAGGATGTTGCATCAAATTTCAAGAACATGATCAAGTTTTCAAAACATGCCTCACACGCATGACCATGCTCATCTAGTGGTAATACAAGCGCTGCCTTGCAGTAAAAGTAATTTTTCTTATTTTTCAGTATTTTGCACCTACTAAAGAGTAATGCAGAATATAAGCATTTTTTTCTCGCTGCATAGACTAGTGATCTACAATCATGTCAATAACTACAATACGCCAAAATAAACAAAAAGAGAAAAACATAAATATCATACGACAGGCATTGTAATCGAACATTCAACCTAGAAATAATTTATTTAGTACATATAAAGTTACCAAAGCATCGATGAGTTTGGCGTTTTTGCCGCGCTCTCGAGTGACCACCACCTTCGGATTTGAAGTCGAAGGCAAGGAAGCTGAAGCTGAAGCTGAAGCCGATGCGAAACATCTGATCTTGATGGTAATTGTTCTGCTCCGAGATTCCCGAGAATATGGCCAATAGCAGGGGATCGCACGGGTAGAAACCGTAGAGAACGTATAGAGAGAAAACGCGGCCATTATTTCCTGGAGAGGATACGTGTATGTCTAAGACGAAGTCATTATTGTTTATAGCTTTTTCGTGGTTATCGAGAGCACTGGACACACAAAAATCTATTATTATAGTAATATAAAAAAATTAATTTTTTTTTCGAAAAGATATGATTTTCTCATAAATACAAATGGGAGAACCACTAAAAAAAGTGGTCTAAACAACATCTACCCGAGGTATCATACGGGTACTAACACCCGAGTCTTGAAACTACCTCCTAAACACAACCAAAAGCCAAGCAAAGCAAACCAACCAATCTATTGAGCCTAAACTCCAATAAAACGGATGTAAAAGCCCAAAACAATTTCTATATATTAGCTCGACTCTATTTTCACAAATAGTAAGTTATAATTATGTCGTATTTTATTTAATATTAAGTGCATAATTTATTAAGCCCTAAGTCTAAGCCATGGAGAAAACGTTCGAATTTTATTTCACAAACGAGATAAAATAATAAGTCTAAGTTTTGATTAGTTATTTTAATCGAATATTAGAAAAGTCGGGAATTTATTTTAAATTCCGAGCTAAGCCATTTCTATTCCAGCTAAGAAAGTCCAATTATTTAATTGGGATATTTTAAAATTCTAGCCGAAAATTTTATGTAAGTCGGTTAGTAATAACCGAGCCCAAGACTAATAGACATTTAAGCCCAAGTAGCATTTTTATTTCAAGCTCACTAGGCTGTATTCTAGCCCAAGCCAATAAAATTACTAGCCCAATGTCAAAATTAAATGAAAGCCCAATTCATAAGCCCAACTTACACATCAAACCCTAATTCTCCTACAAGAAACCCTAGCTACCCTAACAGACATTATCTACGTTGCAAACCCTAGCCCAATAAACCTATCCAGTCATCATCTCCTTCATCTTCCACTTCAAGAAGCTAGAGCACTCCATAACCATCACCATCCACCTTCATTGTTTGGTTGTTCCTGATTAGAAGGAGCTGCCAAGAGATTGTTTGCTAATGCTCTGGCGATGCATCCACGGGATGCCAATCACCCAAAGTGCGATGGAACCAGGAATTCCAGTTGCTGATATTTTCGGTAGTTTCGTATAGTTGGTGCATAAATGATAAATTCACATTTGCTCTGTATAATTGTGAATTGACGGTCTAATAATTGTGGCAGATACAGATTTGGAAGCTTTGTGGCCCTTAATATGACAAACTTTGTGGCCCCTAATATGACAAACTGTTTTTTTGCAATCTCGCGACTCCTCTAGTGCATCAAGGTAATATTAACAAGCATTGTTCGAGTTCTTAAAAGTACATGCCAGTATTTTAGTGATTTCAAATAACATGTGTACGTCGGATTCCTAAACATGTAACTATCAAGGGAATATTTCTCGTCCAACTTTGCTTTAGTTCATACCTAGCTGCCAACTCATTTTAGAAATAAAAGAAAAAAAAAAAACATAAAAATCAAGTAAAAATCTGCCTCATCAAAAAACTTAATAAAAAGTTTAGTATAGAAAATGATTTGATGTTTTTGTTTTTTTGTTTAAATGCACTGTTGTGGATGCCGCATAGGATGAAATGATCTATTTATTTGGCCGGAGAAACGAGTTACATGACTATCACATGCCATATTTCATTTTTCTAGAAACTACACTATTTATTTTTCTGATATCAAACGTTTTAGGATATGAAAACTACTTAAGATAAAATTTGGGATAACAAAAATGAAATGTTGATTATGTGAGATATCTATATATGCGGCGTGAAATAATACCTTAAAATAAAATTTCTACATTATCTTATAAGGAGGGAATAAAGTTTTGTCACAGTTAGATCTAGTTGTTATGCCAATTGGAGAGAAAATTGATGTAGTTAGAATCCAATAACTAGCAAAAAAATCTAGGAAAAGCATACCCCATTAATGAAAATGAAAGCAGTGGATTGTCGAATTTTGTGTCAATTTGTTTGTAGGAGGAAATATCCTATCCTGTCTTCCACGGCAATTCGGTTCTCAGTCACTCATTTTTTATATGCGCGTTTCTTTATTATTTCATTCCCTTTCCAACAGATAAGGGTACGATTTAATACAATTTTTCAAAGGTTCTGAGGACACAAAGTCTTCATAAATTCGAATAGGCCACAAAATTCAACAAAATCGACCAAGGCCTTTCTTATCAGACCATGGGCGACCCAAGGTTCCATATTTCCACAGGAATTCACGAGATTAGGTGAGATCGGTCACTATTTCGACTGAATCGAAAAGATCTCAACATAACACTATAGATCCAATGCAAATCAACAAGGATATAATCAATTCAAGCAATATAACACATAATCAGAGAGGATTCAGCCAAAATACCGTTCACCTTTCGAAACTACTAGCAAAACGGACGAAGGTGGCCTCGGGCGGCAAGGCGCGGGCTCGTCGGCAGCGGTTGCGGGCTTCCGGTGGACGGTCGCTGCAACCAGGGAGCGGTTGATGATGGCTGCTTGCTAGTTGAACACGCGGAGACAGGGACCAGAGAAGGGGAGGGATCGCTCGTCGGGGAAAGTAAGGCGCCGTAGACTCGTGCCGTGCGTGCGGTGGGGAAGATGACGTCGGTGCAGTGGGCTGGCGCGGCGAGGAGAGGAAAAGCGAGATGGCAGCGATTGGATTTCTGATCGGTTTGAGAGGCTGGTCGATTTCAGAGAGGAAAAAGAATAATGTGTACGGTTTTAGGGGTAGGGGAGAGGCTTAAATGCAGGGAGAAGAAAGGAAATCAAGGACTCCTTCCAAAACTAGGAGAATCCAAATATTTGAAGAGAAATTGACCATAGGAGCTGAAAAAAATCGGTCATTAGGATAGAGAAAAAAAAATTGATAGTCAATTTCAGGGGTGGAGTCAGGATTTTAAATCTACTCGGGCTAAAAATATTGTT